AGTTCGTATAGCAACAGGCGTGACCAGAGTGGTTTGAACGGCTGCTGTACTGCGATGTGGAAAGCAAATGGAAAAACTACCACATTATCACTTTTCCTGGATAGTCTCTTTCCAAAAACAGAAGATCACATTAAGTGGAGGAACTGTTTTGGAAGAGACTGTGGACCTGTCGTCTGACAGATTACTGATGAATGAATGAATAGTCACTCCTGTTTCTTGCAACACTGAAGAGACCAGTTATAATTTTAAGTGGTAACTGAATTTCACTTACTTCTTGAAACATGTTTCAAGGTACTAAAATGCATTATGATATAGGTGTTCTCATGGCAGTCGAGAGGTTTACAAGTGTCTGGATGGCTACCTGTTTAACGCAGAGACAGGGCATTGTGAAGAAGATACGAATGTCACCTGTGTTGAGGCATTATTTGATCCATGTAAGAGGCGGGGTGATGGTATATATGCAAACTTCAGCACCAATTGCCAGGATTACTATAGGTATGTGTACTTGAAAAACTTGGCAGGTACAAAATCAAAGAGAAATTGGATGAAATCTGTGGTTTCTTGAATACTGTCCTCGAAAATTCATAAAATGTCTTGCACATGTGATCAAGGTTTTAAGTCTACTATGTTGAAAACTTCAATGTATAAATTCAAACGTTTTTGGAGGTGTCAGAAATGTATATTACTAGAGGGAATTTTAAAGATCTTTTTTGATCTGGGTAAGTTTTACTTGTAATATGCTTAGTCTGTAAATTTGTCTGTCCTACTTGCAGTCCAGTTCACCACAGAACTGTCTACTTCTGCCTGAATTGTTCAGCTACTTGAGTGAAGCTGTAAAAATCTCATTGTATGTAATGAGAAGTAAAAATTCTGAAGCTGCTCATTATGCAGTCTAATGTTTTTCTTCTCTCTTAGGTCCAAATAATCTGTGCAACATTTATTCTTAAACACATTCAATCTGTAATCTAAATCTGATGGTTCCTGATGATGGTGCATAGTGATCTTCTTGTTCAATATTTTGGATATTGTCCATTTCACAGATTTTCCAAACTGCACTATTTTGGCTGTTGGTTATGTTTCTTTTATCATATAACAGGATGAATTAAGGAACCATATTCTGTTGATTCCTTGGCAGAGTTGGTCTTAAAACCTGAAGAAATGAAACCAGTTTCTGAAATGTGTTGTTTGAAGAACTAGGTCAGTGAACAATATCCAGTACATCAATCAAAAGGGCCCTCAATCTATGTGCTTCCCTTAAAATGAAATAGGTAAAATTATAGTTTACAGATCTGTGTATGTTGATATAAAATAGAGCAGTTTGTGTTTTATGAAGTACATGTTAATGTGTTAGGTGTGAGCGTCATGCATTGACCAACAGCTACTCATGTGGTCCAGGATATTCATTCAGCATCGTGACACACGGTTGTATGGCATCTAGTGAAGTAATGTGCATAGAGCCACACTGTGCCATCACTGGCAGTGGATTCTACATTATCCCGGGTACTGGCTGTCGTGCATACTACCACTGTGACCAAGGCATGCGCACGGATTATCTCTGTCCATTGGGCACCATCTACGACAGAAATAAAAAGGTTAGAGGGTCAACGCCCCAATTAAAGACAAGAAACATATTAAGTATTTTATTTACAATATTTATATATACTTATTTATTTAATGACACTGTCGGTGCAGGGATAGCGTAGTCGGTATAGTGACTGGCTATGGGCTGGATGACCAAGGGGTCAGAGTTTGAATCCTGGTAAGGTCAAGAATATTCTCTTCTCAACATCATCTAGACTGGCTCTGGGGTTCATGCAACCTCCTAGCCAGTGAGAACTGCAATTTTACTCCCCGGGAGTAAAGCAGCTGGGGCATAAAGCTGACAACTCACCTCTAGCTAGTGCTGAGGTCAAGAAAATGTGGATCCATACATCCATACCCACATAAGCCTTCATGACATAGTGCTTAATTAGTAAAGCACAGAGACAACTTTACCTTCACATTATTGTCATTGTCAGTAGTTCAGACTACATAGCCTAAGATGGTTGGATGTTTAGTAAATAATTAATTGGAAAGGATATGGTGAAAGTGGTCATAGCCCAATCAGATGTACCATCCAAGTATTTCCTTGGATGGGATGAGGAACACCACGAAAAAATCTATCAGGATTTTCTGGTTTCTGGGCCGAGAGTTGAATGCAGAGCTGACAAGTATGAAGTGGGGGTGCAGCTCACTGGACTACAAAATTCAGTACACAGTATTTTAAGGGGTGAAATTGAACTGACAAATGATAGGTTTGGAATAAACAAAGGAAAGGAAACAGTGCAAAATGAGTCATAACACTTTTTGTGTCAATGTATTCCATTAATTTGACTGTGGAGAGTAAATAAAATCAGAAGAGACCTTCTTAGTTGGGTTTACTGGCATTGGCAGAGATTTGAACCAAGTACCTCAAAACTACAAGTGCTCATATCTGTTTGTAGGTTTCTACAGTAATGACCCTTTTACATTACAAAAGGGATATTTCTGCCAGGCAGAATTAGATTTATAGATGTAGATACTATATCACAAATAATAATAAGTACAGTGTGAAGAGGTAAATGTGAGGCTTTAGTGGTGGTTTGGAGGCGAAATTGGCAGGAATGATGTGAGACAGACATTTATACAATGGATGTAAGTATTTGTATGGTCACTGACAAATTGTTGCAGTGATGTCCAAAAATTCTAAACAAAGTATTCATACTGACCAAATTACAGTATACTGTCATATACTGTATTCCTGTTTACAGCAGAGGGTTAACTCGTATTAGAAACCCTAAACATAACTAAACCACAATTTAAAATATCCATGTAAGATGTGATAGAGTATAAGATTTTGGTTTTGAAATCTATTTTTCAATTTGATTCCTAATGGGAATAGGGACTTTTTAGTACCATAATGTTTATATCACATTAAGTTACCTTGTAAAACCAAGGAACTAATAATTCCCCATAAAATTTAAAAATTCATTTAACATTATATGGAGTCTATCATAGAAAATGTTTTGGTAAAATGTTAACAAAATCTCTATATTCAGAATAAAGACTAACACAAATGTAGCTGTTGTCTCCAGCTAATCCAAATTTTTATTTTGTTTCTTCAGCCCAGATTTACATAACTTTCTGGAGCATTGAACCACATCCTGTGCAGAGGTCTAGTTTGGGGCTCTCCCAACCAAAACATTTCTAAACTGCAAGGTGAGTCAGAAAAGATTAGACATTTATATATTTAAGGATTCGCATTCATCTGTCCATCTGAAACATTTGTAAAATTAAATTTGGCAGACCTGTATCAATTCAAGAAAAAATGTCAACCATATTTAGAGAATTTGAAAACTCTGGGATGAAAGAAGACCAATTCTTTCTGAAATGAAACATAGACACTTGGAAGAGTACATATGAAGCAGTTAAGATCAGTTTCAGACAATATGAATTGTGATATAAAATCTGAGATTTTCTTGGCATGGAATATTCATATTATGGTCTTCTGGATTATGATACTTTTATTGTAATCTGGAAGGTGGGTATCATGGTTTTGGAGGAAAATACTTCTGAAGATAGAGACAGTATATTCCTTTGAAACAATATTACCCACTTATGAGATTATAATATTATGGCTGATCCCTGAAGGCCACAGTATATAGAATTTTATTATTACTTTCCAAACATGGAAGCAGTATAGTGAATCATCTCATTATCAGTTATTAAAAGTTTTCAACAGTTTGTTTAATCATTTCTGACTCATTTAACAATGAACAATTGTTTTGAATTACTTTCGCTAGCATACTATCTAAAATGACACAGGATCTTTAAAAATTGTCTTTTTTGAAACAATATAGAAGCCAAAGAGCTGAGGATAAAATAATGTGATTTCTGCCATTGTTTCCCTATTTACAAATTCAGTGTTGATCTGTGTCGTTTCTAAAATAACTGGTGCTGTAATATTTATCACTTGAGTTGAGGAAAAGTATAATCCGTAACACAAGCATGTCCCTACATTTCCTTGTACTGAATCAGTCCTTGGACATTCTGGCCAGACATCATACAAGGTAATATACAAGGTGACATTGGTGCTTCCCAACAGAAAACTGTTGGAATATATGTAACGTAAAGAATAATATAAGAATTTTCCTACAAGCCATTCTTGAGGATGCTCTAGAAATATGGATAAAACAAAATGTATGATCATGGTTGATACAAAAATCTGTACATATCATTTGAAAACGTTACAAAATTTAAGTATCTAGGAGCAATATCTGGTAACAGAAATTATATATTCAAGAAGTATGTTAGTTGTGTTTAAGCTTTAGTTCACTGTGGAGCATAACTTAGATATTGATTTTACACCAGAATTAATATAGATAAGTATTTTCAAATTACTTAACTCTGAAAAAAGCAGAAGATATGCTTTCTCAGTGGCTGTTCTTACAAGACAGGTAGTATCAGCTACAAGAACAAATGGGACTTTGAAATGTGTATTATGGAAACTGGTTGGAAGGATACAAGTGGATGGAACTGGCAATTTTCCTAACTTTCTCAAGGTGAATGTTTAGGACACAATTTAAATAGGCATTTGAGGTAACATACAATATTGTTTTAGTGTTCTCTTACAACATCAAGAACTTGCAGCCCTTAACAGTTAACTCATACATTGTATTCCCATTTATCACATTGGTGAATTTTCAGTTCCAGTGGTTCCTAGAATTCAAAATTTCAGTCTGTGAAACTTTTACAGAAGAATTACAGGACAATCCCCCAATATTTATAGACAAGTAAGACAGTTTAAGTACCACTGAGGTAGCTCATCCAGTAAAGTGACTGGCTATGGGCTGGCCAACATTCAATTCAAACCAGAGATGACATTATGTCTCGACTGACTTTAAGATTCACCCAGCTTTCTACCAAATGGGTATTATGGCGTCTTTAATGGGAGTAGAACTGTCAGAGCATAAGTCTGACTGTTCACCACGATCAACATAAATCCCAATCCCATAAATCAAGAATAAACAGAGTTTTATCTCCATCACTCTAACATGCTTTCATTGTGAAATTCTTAGTCATAGGGACACCTCTGCAATTAACTCAGAAATATTTACAGAGTTTCAAGGTACATTCAATATCTTTCCAGAGTTACCTTTAATAATTGCAGATTTCTCTATGTTTCACTTTTCAGTACGCCTGATTTCTATATTTGGGCATGAAATTAATCTAAGATTCACAACACTTCCTTCGGTGTCCATTTGAGTTATAAAATAGGCAGCCACTATTTGCCTCAAAATATCACATCTTCATAGTCCACCTTTTCAAATAAACGAAACGTTTTACATAGAGTGTAACATGATAACTATCATATGCATCTCTGCATAATATTCAATTTTCAACATTGCACTACCATGCAGGATGTCTTCCAAAAACTGAAAGATGATATAAGAAACATTAACGGGAAAGTCTGATCACAAATGATAACAGAAGTCAGGTGTATATAACACACCCCACTCTAGTGTGACATTCATAAATCCATTTTATTTTCTCTGCAGGCTTGTGCTCAAGAAGGTGGCTTGTGTTATGAACCACTTTGTACTGGACGAATCAATGGCCAATATCCTGATACCTCACACCACTGCGAGCGATCTTTTGAATGTTCTGGTGGCACCCTACAAGCCGTATATGGTTGCCTTGCTGGTCAACTACATAATGGTCAAATGTGTTTACCTGCTGACACAGTGACCTGCCAAGCTCCTGAGAGCACTTCTGTGGCTATTCAAGTGCCAACTTCTAATCCCTGTATGAACCTCTCTGATGGTTCCCATACTGCAGCACTGGATGATGACTGTCGCAGCTACATCCTGTGTAAAAGAGGCCAAAATATTGCAACGCTTCGTTGTCCTGTTGGGCTTCGCCATGATGGCAGACATTGCGCAGATGCAGCCAAAACCCCTTGTTCGTCAGACTGTTTGCAACGCTCTGATGGTTATTATACAGATCTGATAACTAGGTGCAGAAATTACTTTTACTGTTCAAAGGGTCAGATGACAGAACACAGGACCTGTCCAGAAAGCACACTGTATAATGGGTATATGTGTGTTCCTTCTCAATTATTCACCTGCCCCTTGTCCTCTCCAGCTCTTTCAAATAATAATAACAAATGTTCCTCTAAGACAGATGGCTTCCACACAGAATATGCCACTGGTTGTCAGAGTTACTATTTTTGCTTAGAAAGAAAACTAGTATTGGAAGGTTCATGTATGGAAGGACAGATGTGGAATGGTAAGACATGTGTAGAGCAAGGGAAATTCTACTGCAAGGGACCTGAACCATGGCCAGGTTGTCTGGGTAGGGAAGTAGGGTTACATCAAGATCAAAAATCTCAGTGTCGTTACTATTACTACTGTGAGAATGGAAATCGGACCCAGCTTTCATGCCCTCAGGGTCAATTGTTTGATGGAAAGTTGTGTGTATCTGCAGATGATTATGAATGCCCAAACATAGAGCCTGACGTATGTAACCAGAAGCCTGATGGTTATTATCCTGATATGGATTCCAGTTGTAGGTCATATTACTATTGTTCCAAAGGATACAGATTCACATATGTATGCCCTGATTCTTATGTTTTTGATGGAAAAGAATGCGTGGATCCAAGTAACTACAAATGTCCACGTACTTCAAGGGACTGCATATCTTTGTCCAATGGGTACCACTATGATAAGGTTTCTGGATGTCACAAATATTTCTACTGTTTAGATGGTGATAAGATAACAACTCTTACATGTGCAGGAATTAAGGTATTTAATGGTGAAAAATGTGTGGAACCTTCAGATTTCCGATGCCCTGACTCCATTTCAGAAAATTTCTGCGCTTCACGACCAGATGGGCTCTTTGCACACACAGACAGCAGGTGCCAGAGATATGTTCACTGCAAGGATCAGAAACAGATGTCAATTTCTACTTGTCCTGATGGGAAGGTGTTTGATGGGTCAGCTTGCATTGAGAATTCGAGTACAAATGCTTGTGTTTCTGCAGTAGCTAAGCCTGATCCTATGCACAGTCCAGATTGTACAAATATGTCTAATGGATTTTATCAGAACTATACCTCTGGTTGCCACAGATATTTCTACTGTATTGATGGCATGAAGACAACTCTCACTTGCCGTGGTAATGAGGTGTTCAATGGGCAGTTGTGTGTCAGCTCTAAATCATATACTTGCCCACATGAGTCTACTGTTCACACAAGTCCATGCAACACAAACAATTCTGAACACAAATCTATACAAAGTGGAAAGTATATGATTCTACATATCTTTCCTCCAACTTGAGAAATACTATTAGTCTAATAAAAGCAATGTTATGAATAAGTGTGCATTCTTCTCAGGATTAACAAACCCCAGCACTAATGAAGTGTTCAGTTTTGTTCATAAATTTAAAGGTCATAAAGACTTTATGATCAGCTGTATAATTACTATTTCTTGTGTATATCAAACATTTAAAATGTAAATTTCAACTAACAAGCACTGTTTGGAAGATGTCAGACTCATTATGTATGAAGCTATGGTGAGACTGGACAGTGCCAAAGATTATTTTATACTTTTTTTTTTATTTTACAGGTTTTACTGTTATTATTTATTCATTCTTAACTGATACATACAAAGCAATCCTTCACATTCTGATGTGAATGCCCTTTGACCCAAAAGACAATAGTGAACGCATGCATTAGAATTTCCGTATTGACATTTTTGTGTGAACAGAGTATTCTGTGTGTCTGGGCCCATTCTCTGGAATATGCATTCCTTTTGTCATACACATATTTATGTACTTTCCTTTGTAATGTGTAATATAATGAAGCCCAGGTGGAAAATTGAAATATAAGAGACAACTAAATAGAAATAACATCTCATATTATGCATTCCTTTATATGGCAAAACATTTTTGGGAACTATAATAAAATTAAATATAAGTAAAAATAACATCTAACTTGATATTTTAATTAACTATCCATTTAAGTTTATTCATTTGGCATTTAAAATTTACTTAATTATAGTAATGAAGAGAACATCAACAAGAGACAAACATTTCAATGTCATTTCTCAGTCCTTGCCCTAAAATAATTTCACAAGCCTAATTGTTGAACACTGCTGCTGTGTGACTAAACGCAAAGCTATGCTGAATTAGACCAAGTAATAACTGCAAGCCATGCATAAACCTTTCCTTCATGCAGGATTGGCAGACCCTATAGCAAGCATATAAAAAGCATGTGTGCTTATTTTGTCTGAATACAACATGATTGAAGCATGTCACTATCAGTGGATTTACACTTTTACAAACCTGCCCCTATGTGTCATTTATGGGACTTCATTACTTCCCTAACATAACTGATAAAGATAGCTCTCCAGACACTTCTTGGTGGAGTTTATTGAATTTTACAGATATCCTTCTTTATGGAAAATAAAGCCAAAGAATATACAGTACAGTTGCATCATATGCACATTTAACTTTGCAAATTCAAACATACATGTTCACAGAAAAGCATAAAATTAAAATTTTATTGATGTGACAGAGTGTTGGTTGTCCTTCAGCATTTCAGATTGAACCATGTATATTAAGCAGGCAATGGATGCAATCAAACCTGGAACAGCTAATGCATGCCAGCAAAACCTATGGAGTGGATGTGTGAAGGATTTTAACCATATCCCAACCACTGACAATGAAGTGAGATGTGCTGTTCAGGTGGCCATGCAAGTGAAGTGTGATGGCTTTGTCAGGATCCTTGAGGAAGAAATTCAAGAATTAATTGAGGCCCACCAAGAAACACTAACACACTACATTATCATATACATATGATATATGTCTATAATACAGGGTATACAGAAGAGCATGTACTTTATGGGTGATTTTCAAAAGTAATTCTGATTATGTACGATTTTGGGTTTACTTGCGGTTTTTATGACATAACCCTGATATAAGATGCAACTTTAATGTAAGTAAAAAGTAAAGTAAAGGTGTCCCTGTAACAGGACGTGGAGGCCCATAGGGTTGTGAGATGTTGAGATTCCCACATTTTCTAGACAATCGGCTCATAGATGGCGGTAAGTTTGTCAGCCTTACGTGCCAGCTGCCCTTTACTCTCAAGAATATTCCAAGAATATTCCTGGTACTCATTTCTGTCAGAGGCTGAGTTGACCCCAGGGACATAGTGTGGCTGGAAGGATTAGGTAAATTGAAAAAATCCACCTCATCGGGATTTGAGCCCGCGACCTTCTGGCTTGTAGCATAGTGCCTCAACCAACTATGTTACTGCGAGGCCGCACCATAGCTCAAGCGGTTAGTCACTGGCTTCCCACTGCAGCGGCCCAGGTTCGAACCCGGGTCTGGTCAAGTGGGATCTGTGGTGGACAAAGTTGCGCTGGGGCAGGTTTTCTCAGAGTACTTCGGTTTCCCCGCCAATCTTCATTCCACCAATTGCTCCACAATCACCCTCACCTATCATCTGGGGTTGGTACAATAGGCCAGAAGTGGCCATAGTAGAAGGGACTTAGTCGCACCCCACTAGCAATAAACAAAAAAACCTATGCTACCACACGACTGTATGAACAATAACTTAAAGCCTAAGGCATATACACAGCAAATTTATTTAAAACTATCTGTATGAATGTCAGGATTTTTTTATCAAGACCCAATCAATCAGAGGATTTCTTGGCATAAAATGTAACTGGGGCAGCCAAAACAAAATGGATTTTCTAATCGATAATAATTACACCATTGTTACACTATGATTTCCTGATGTTCACAATTGATAAAGAGCTATCAACACATTGCATTTCAAACTTAGATTGCTCTGGAGGTGATTAATCTGAGAAGTTGAACCACCTTGATGACATCTGTTGAGAGGAACCTGGTAGTGAAGTACATGAAATAGAATCAAAAACAAAGTTATGAAGTATTTGCTATTTATTATTTATTACTGTAGGGCTGGAATGAAACAGTTCACTTGGTACCAAAGCCTTTCAGATACCTATTTGTCACGGTATACACTGACATGTCCACTTCCAACTTGGTAACATGCTGGCATGCCAACATATTCACCCTCTGAGACCTTTGGTTTTCTCACTTGTTTAGAGTTATTTACAGTATAAACGTATAGTTTTCCAGTGAACTAGGTGTCAGCAAGCATCAATTTTAATGCTAGATTGTACCCATTGTAAAGACTGTCCGTGTACACTTTGGGTTTCCAGCCATAAACTTCATTTCTACAGTTGCAAAATATCCCTTTCCACCTATATTATCCAGTTATCCTCTTTAGACCAAGTCACAAAGACTCATTCCACTGGAATGTCAGCATGCACAAATCTATCCCATATCTGTTCCTGAAAACTAATTACCCTCTCCACAAAACTACAGGTTAGTCTGGTAAAAGTTCTTTCCCTGGGCTGTACACACTATCAGTAGCACTTCTGAATGGGTCCAACAGTGGCCTTATTTTCATTACTAAGTCAACAGAAATCAGTTCTCCAGATTTTAGTTCATTGAAAGAAGGCACTGTAGAATGAGAACAAAATGATTTCTACTCATATCTCCCCCACCCCTTAAAGTAAAACCCTCCATTTTGAACACAGTATCAGTTTTCCAACAGTCTTTGAGACGAGGCACTTGAGTTATACCCATGTGAAACAAGATACTCATTTCTGCTGTAATAATATCTTTCTAATCATTTATTCCTGAATATTCCTCAACTCCAGACAGAAACACTTTTACAGTATAAGCAGTAGTCTCATCTGATCAGTCTGTAGAACACATGAAAACATACTAAAAATATCTATAGCTTTCCTACCACAAACAGTCCCAAACTGTGGCCCACGTAAACCAGTAAAATCAATGTTCTTCATAGCTTGGAATCCTTCTGACCAAATATGGTTTTGAATTCGACTTTCTGAACAGGAAGGGAAGAAATAATTTCACTTGTGGATGAGCTACCTTTGCTTTCAGTGTAACTAGAAATGCTGCGTTCACTGTCAGCGTTGTTTCTAACTGACATGAAATTGCACTGCTGTTTTTAAGTGTTTGCTGCAGTAAGTCATAATAGTTTTGGTTGGAAATGGCCCTGTGCTAAATTACAAGACTCATCAGTCCTATCTCCCTTGACTTCTCAACCAAGGAAAGCACTGGGATAAAAACCAGAACTATGCACAAGTAAACTTGTAGCAAGAAGAGACGCGATTGCAATGCCAACCTGTTTAGCCAGGCAGAACCACTGATACCACATTGCTACATACACATAAATTCATAGTACACATTCACTAAAGCCATTAAAATAATACTGTAAAAATCTTACTACTAGAACAAATATTCTAACTTGGTTCCCATCAAATTACCCTCCATAATCAATTATTTTTCACCACATTTCTAATTTTTCAACAATCTTACTCATCCTTTTATTGTGGGGAAAAAAAGAGAAGAAAATAGCTGTTCAGTTGTGTTCAGAATCTCAGCTTATTTCAGGTGATCAGAGTTCCATCCTAACACTTTCCTTATCCACAAAGGAATAGAGAGAATGACAGAGGGATGAATGCACAGCTTTCATTAATGCTTACACCACACCTTTAATTCTAAATCTAAAGCTAGTGAACACAGACTGATGTGAGAGAATTTACATGGGTAAACATCACAACTCCTTGCACAGCCAATTGGGTTTACAGCGAACTGACAATGAGCTGAGTCACAGTTTTTGAAAATCATATTTGCCAGTGAGATACACAGATAGATAGATGGATATCTGTATCCCATCAGCTCTTGACAGAAGAGTATGAGCTATGTCAGAGTAAAACACAACACACTGGGAAACACAACAGATTCAATCACATATACAGCCGCACTATAAATAACTGTTTAGTAATTATGCTGTATGTTCAGAGATAACAAGTACATATAAGTTTATGAACTGCAGACACATGATTGCAGTTAGCCTAACATTTCTTAGCAGTACATGCAACAACACACTTGGATACAGTCCACAAAAAAATAGAGGTAGAGAAATTTGTTGCCATCAGACACATGTTTACAGTCAAACACTTATTGCAAATTGTATTTTAGCATCTCGCTGCACTAGTTTAATCACCATGTGTCTGAAACTTGTTGACTATGTGGTGATCTGACCTGCACTTACTCAAAATAAAAATTAATCTGTAAAGTAGAAGTTCTGAATGAAAAGAACTGTCTTCAGTTATATTTTGAATTGCTTACTGTTAGGCAATAAACATTTAACTTTTGGTTCAAGATGGGCATAAAATTTTGTTTCAGAATGCTATACTCCCTTTTGGTGAAGATCACGCTTGTGTCTTGTATTGACTGCATGGAATTCTGAATATTTCTGAAACACTTCCAATTTGTTGACTAGAAATGTCCTTGGAGTCAAAAAAAAATATCTATAGCTAGAAATAGTATATCAAACCTTCTAAATGGGAGTACAATGAGACAGCACATCACCTATTCATAGACTTCAAGAAAGCCCATGATTCAGTTAGAAGGGAATTATTGTACAATATTCTAATAGAGTTTGGGATACCCATGAAACTAGTTAGGTTGATTAAAATGTGTTTAAATGAAACGTATAGGAAAGTCTGTGTAAGTAAACATTTGTCTGATAAATTTCCTATCCAGAATGGTTTAAAACAAGGAGATGCTTTATCACCACTCCTTTTCAACTTTGCCTTAGAATATGCAATTAGGAAGGTCCAGGGAAACCAGGTGGGACTGAAATTAAACGGGACACATCAGCTGTTGGTTTACGCTGATGATGTGAATCTACTGGGTGATAATGGAGATACCATAAAGAAAAACACATAAACTTTAATTGACGCAAGTAACGAGGTTGGTCTAGAAGTAAACAGAGAAAACTAAGTATATGTTACTGTCTGGTCACCAAATTGCAGGGCAAAATCATGACATAAAGATAGGAAACAGATGTTTTGAAAATGTGGCACAGTTCAGATATTTGGGAACAACGATAACAGATCGAAACCTGATTCAGGAGGAAATTAAGAGGCGACTGAACTCGGGTAATGCTTGCTACCATTCAGTCCAGAACCTTTTGTCTTCTCATCTGCTGTACAAAAACATAAAAATTAGAATATTCAAAATTATAATTTTGCCTGTGGTTCTGTATGGGTGTGAAACTTGGTCTCTGGCATTAAGGGAGGAACATAGACTGAGGGTGTTTGAGAACAGGGTGTTGAGGAGAATATTTGGACCAAAGAGGGATGAAGTAACAGGAGGTTGGAGAAAACTGCATAATGAGGAGCTTCATAACTTGTAATCTTCTGCAAGTACAATTAGAATGATCAAGTCAAGGAGGATGAGGTGGGCAGGGCATGTAGCACGAATGGGAGAGATGAGGAATGCATATAGGATATTGGTGGGAAAGCCAGAAGGAAAGAACCTTTGGGTTCCATAAAATGCTGGGAAATTCTTGAGTAGCTGCAGAATTGGCGGCTCCTCCAGAAGGGCTCACCTCCATTAGTTAGTAAGTAAGTAAGTTTGTATTTGCTAATGGGGATCATTCAAAATCCCACTTCTTGGGCATATTTTTCAAGAAAGAGAATTCTACCACTCCAGGATTTGGTGGTGTATCAAGAGACAGGCTTGAAATAATAATGAAATCTTTATATTTTGAAGACAACATTAACAAAGCAAATTATGAGGGCCTTGCATAACTTCATAAAATCTTTCCTGTCCTATCGTACCTGAATGATAACTTTCAGAACTTACCCTTCCCAAGCAGAACATTTCAGTTGATAAATTGTTTACATTTTGGAAGGGACCCTCATCTTTTAAACACTGGCAAGACTAAATAAAAATACAATATATAAAACTAAAGTTGCATTCTATACAGAGCACAGTGTTCATATCTCCATTCAAAATTTGCCTATCTTGGATTTTCTACCATTTTTTTATAATTGCACTTTGGGGATGAAAATATTAAAATATCATAGTGTTGTATGGATATTCAAAACTTACATTATTTTCTGAATATAGTTAGTTCTTTGCTTTAAAATTCCACTTTTCTTGATTTTACAGCAGTTTCAGTTAAACTTGTAAATTTTGGATGAGGATATTTAAATGTCCTCCATCCACACAGTAAGGTTGCTTATAAATGCCTCACATTGCCAAAGGGTTAAGCAACAAAGACAGCAGTGAATACAGAATATCTGTAGCTGGCTGGGATCAAGTTGTTACTCAGCAGTTAACATGCTGTTTTGCTCTTCTGACACATACATTGCTATTTTATGGTTAGTATTAGTTAAAAGCAGTTAAAGCTCTAGTACTTAGAGCTGACAGTCCAGGAAAAGCTGCGCTGTGGATGGGCACAGTTGAAGAAAACGTTAGATTTTCAGAAATGTATCTCCATATTAAAGAAAATTATTTTGAAACTGAGGTTCCACTGGAAGAAAACAAAAAATAATCGAACATTGCCAGTGTTGCCCCTTTAGAATAGACCCGTGTGATATGTAAATAATCTCTTCATGTATATAACAGTGAAAAGTGTATAATAGTGTATAGTGCATAACAGTCTGTAATTCGGCACTTAAAACTTAACATCAGATGTGTGAACATCAACGAGAATAAACCACCTTCACTATGCAACACAATAAGGTAAGAAGTTATTTCCTTTTGAGAACATCTGTACTGCATTCCCCGCCACTACCAATACTTCTCCTACCTCGCGTTGCAGGACTGTCACCTCTCTAAGTACTAGAGCTATACTGATGCTATTATGTAAATACTTTTGTGATGCATTAAATGTGAAAAATGTTTAAGTTTGGGAAAAATGAAAAGTAAATTGATGGAATGTTTCTTGTACTCCTATCACTTTTCATGTTTTATCTCAGCTACAATGCATGTGTTTGTTTACGAATTTAGAAAGGGCAATATTCTATATTAATTGCAATAGGACTTGGCACTGAAGAAGGGAACAAAGACCCTGTAATCTTCCTTGAATTGCAATGCTTTCACTTTTCTGTCCTTCAGTCAAAAGACTCGAATATCTGAAGAGTGCAACAAAGATGTGAAACTTGCCAGCAGAGAATCAAATGATTTTATTGCTTCCAGCTAGTTTATGGCACCAGAGAATACAAAAATATTTAAAGTGCTGGAAGCAGGAGTGATTTTATAATGCAGAACCACTCTATGAAGAAGCAGGGAACAATTTTTACAGAATGCATCAAAATTACAAGAAAATATTAAAAATAGAGTATAACTTCTTTGTCTAAGTATTTTCAAATCTCACATTATACAGGGCTACTACAAATGATTCATTCGTTTTTAAAACGCTATATTTTCCAAAGCATTATACGTACAAATATGATTCGTATATAAAAGAAACCGCAAACTCACCAAGTTTTCCTCACACTCTAAAAATGTTCTGTGTGTGCCCCTTTGGTCACACGACACACGTCCAGGCGGTAGTCGAGCTCGTTCCACACATTTTGTAGCATCATCCTGTCAATGGGCATCACTGCAGCATCGATGCGTTCCCTCAGCTCTACTATTGTTCTTGGCAGTGGAGGTATGTAAACACGATCCTTAATGTACCCCCAAAGGAAGAAGTCACAATGCATTAGATCATGTGATCTGGGGGGCCAAGTGAACAGAGCTACGTCATCCTCACCAACACGCCCAATCCAGCGATGCCGAAGTTCATTGTTTAGGTAGCGACGAACATTGATGTTCCAATAAAGGGGTGCCCCGTCTTGTTGGAAAACAAAATCCCCAGAATCAGCAGCCAGTTGTGGAAACAGCCATAACTGCAACATATCTAGGTAAGATGTACCAGTCACAGTTTTCTCACAAAAGAACGACCCATACAGCTTTGTCTGTGACATCGCACAGAAAACATTCAGCTTTGGTGAATCTCTTTCAAGTGCTACAATTGCACGAGGATTTTCAGTGCCCCAAAATCTCACATTTTGACGATTAATCTTCCCGGATAAATGGAACGTTGCTTCATCGCTGTATATCAACTTGGCGGCGAAATCTTCATCCTCTAATGCTTCCTGCATTGTGACGCAAAATTCCAGGCGCCGACCAACTGGTGCACATAATACAAACTTGGTGAATTTATGGTTCTTTTTATGTATCAATCATGTTTGTACGTGTAATACTTTGGAAAATACCGTATTTACGCATGTATAGGCCGCACATTTTTTGCCAAAAATTCAAGAGGAAAACTGGGGTGCGGCTTATATTCGAAATCACACTTCATTAAAAAAAAAATTATATTCATAATTAGTAATACAGGGTGTTCTACTCCTGAAATAATATTCCAAGAAAATTATTTTTTCTACAATTTCTGTCTGAAAATTGTGCTGCGGCCTATACATGTGTAAATACGGTATAGCATTCTGAAAACGAATGAATCATTTATAGTAGCCCTGTATTATGTGGCACTATGTTATTTGCCAATAAAAACAAAGCTAATTCCATTCATTTATCATAAAAATTGTATTAGATACAGCACTTTTAGATACAACGTAAGCATCCTAACAGAAACTGACATTTAAACATAGAGCAACAACAGGCATTTAAAGATGCACTAGCAGCAGGCACTTGCATAAAACTCTGGTGTTTAAAGGTTAAGTATCTGAAGGCTTGAGCAGAAATTCCAGAGGATTTTCTTAAACATTTTTAAGATCTCATCTGCTAAAAATCTGAGTGTAACCATTAGGCACTATTCTGAAGAAACTAATCCTCTCACGATGTTTCAAAAGGCTGCATCATGTTTAACAAATGATCAAAAGTTTCAATGTCCTTTTGAAAGTGGTTTCTCAAATCATTTGGATTATATCCTCTGTGCTCACAACATGTGATTGTACTTAAATATATTTGCAAATATAATGTAGTTATTTCTGAAAATCATTTATTTATCCACAATGATCGGCTACTGCAGGAATGAAGATTTAAATAAAAGAAGGCATAGCACAAGCAGGAAGCAGGAACATCATCTCCCCTTCTTCATATTCACTACTGAGCAAAAATGTAAGTAATTCTCTCACAGCCAAACTGTAACTACAGACCATGCAAAATCTGAGGCCAGTAACCAGGCCACACCTGTGATAACATGCAAGTTGTTGTCCATAAATGCACATACATCCCTTTGTTTCCAGTTGTAGGATTAATGCACAAATGTGTCTCATTTAAAGGCGAAAACACCCTTGGACCACTGCATCCCAACAGCACAAGATTAGCATAGGACATGTCAACCCTGCGTGCAATGTGTTTGTGTATCATTAGATGTGTACTGAGTTAGAATGGAATAAGCCTGGGACCCATAACTTTTGATAACTCTACTTTATTATGAAAACTATGCTCATAAAAATAAAGTCATATTACTAAGCTTGACTTCTCTGTGTAACTTAACTGTACTTAACATACTAGACCTACACAAAGTTAACTACTCATCCAGTTTCAATTTGATTCTAAATAAATAAATGCAATATAATAATGACACACAACAATATACATCTCATTTGTAGTTAATGGGATCCTCTTAACTTAAGAAAAAAATAGTTTGTTGAAGGTGGTACATGTGTCCTGCTCTATAATGCCCCTTTAACTCCTACATGGAATGGCATTTCTAACATCTAATGTGTATTCAGAGGGTCTACCTGAAAAACCCATCCCATACCAACTGTACTGAAGGCACAGACATTACTCAAGCAAGGAATAGATGTTATTTCCCCACAAATATTAAAAAGTACTTGTAAAAACTTCTACATTTAATTATCATTCATATGTAATTTAAACCCATGAGATATGAGGCAGCTTCATAATCTGCATTATGGTGGCCTTCAGCTGCATTTTAGTTCTGGTTGGATGGGAGAATCTATAAGATTGAAATTATATATATAAGGGTCAACAGGATTCCAAACTATCTGTTATATTATCAATCACATACAAATAAAGAAAATATGCTGACAAATAGGAAAACAAAGGAAATGAGGTATTTCATCATTCAATGGAATGTTAATTACATCTAAACTAGTTTAAATATAAACTGCCTGCACATCCCCCAAACATGTGAACTGATCACATTAACCCAAACAGAAGATTCTGATATTTTAATTCACATGTTAAATACAAGCACATAAATTTAATGACATTTTACAAGTTTTACAATATACAAATTAGTGAAAGACTGTAATACACAAAAACAAACAAAACAAAGTAAAAAATATATATATTTTATACTCTGTCTGCAATATGCAATTTAAAAGATTATTTTATAAGATGAATCACAAATTTCAAATTTAACATTGGTACAGCTAAGTAAGGTGCTTTATTTTCACTTGCAGCAAGTCACTGTCACAAATATGGCGTTTTCTTTCCTTGATATCATATATAACAGCACCACCAATTTCACTTCTGGCAATCTTTAAACTAACTCAACTTAAATGTCTGTAATGTGACTCTTGTGCAGTAAATGACAAAGAATAACGGTAACCGAAAAATCACAATTCATGCACTCTTCTCCCTCCTGAATGAGTTATGTTAGAGCAAGACAGTTAAATCAGTCCAGTTTCATATAAAGCAGTACTTCACAAAATGTGAATGAAACATTGTGATTTTAGTGGCCAATGATAAATTTATACATGAATTTTCACACTCTGAATGAATTTCAAATTACAGTGTCCTTTTAATACCAATACTGAGGTGCGAATTTCTTCATTGCTCACTATGTGGCAACAATGCCACCCATTCCACAAAACCAGTGTCACAATAAAAAATGACCTAGTATTCTCCCTATACAGTATGAAATAATCCAGATTAAAATTAAGTTAATCAACCTTTATACACCAGTTTCCTTATTCTGGAATTGTATTAAGCAAGTCCTGTTGTTATGCAATTCAAAAGGAAAGCACCAGCTGTGATAGATATTTTAAATAAATATTTGAGACAAAAAATAGTCAAAATTTCATATTTTCATATTTCATTTATTCACCTTCCATAAATCCTGTCACTTGCATATTGAAGCTATATGAGAAATCTTTGTATCTTCAGTAATATCAAATAGCTTCATCACCAGCAATGATTCCATACTAATATCTTTATGAACCAAAATCACATCACATATTTGCAAAATGCTCAGTATGTAAAAATAGTAATCAGCATGCAATTCTGGAAACTGTTCTGTTTTTGTAACTTTTGCACAGGAAGGATGTATTCAGATCATACCACACAACTGTCTAATTTACAAAGATAATTTTTTGGTGAAATTTTCTGAAACTGGTCATACTATGCCTGAGGTAGATGTAATTGTGTGTGGAGATGTAACACTGAAATGACCAGTACTCCCCACCATATTAAACAAAGAACTTCCAAACGTAATATTCAGATTTACAGAAATATAAAATTTGAATTTCAGTTACTATCTTCCTTCTCACTATTTACAATTCTACAACTAAACATATCACCAGTTATCAGTGATTGGCACAACTGACAGGAATACTGAACCATTCTTGAAACCAAATTCCACACAGAAGCTACAACCAATTAAATTCTTACGTTGCTCTGGAAGTGTGGATCACATTAAATATTAGGTTGGAATCTAGAAAAGACTACATCTAAGTGTGCATGAAGTAACAGCACCTTGTATGTTATAGTATGATAAGGTACAGGATATGCCATCAAATGCTGACATCATGGTCATTTTCCGAACATCAATAACATCCACACTGGAATGTCTACCGTTAGATAAGAGGCTTAGGCATGTTATGAGATGCTTCGATCACTGACGCAGCTCCTCCTATTACAGATTAATAATGAATAGTCAATTTTGATCATGTAAAAGTATTCAGTCATTCCAGCACACACACACAGTGTATGTACAGCACATGCACATTTATATATATTTAACTTTATATTACATAATATAGTTTTGGCAGCCTGTTAATCAACACACTCTCATTTATCACAATATCCCATGGATTGCAAAGGACTGTACATTACTGCAGAAGTGCAGAAACATCCCACACTTTAATCAGTCGGTCTTGCCCAACAGTTAGTAGTTGTTTGCGGGGCTCATCAAGGTCCATGAACACAATAGCATGTTTCGCATCATGAAATGTGGCCATAGAAGTGTGACTGAAACAATATAATTCAATAATGTACAATTTTTTAACTTTTTTTGGTACAATATAAGTTGTGTTAAGTATTAAAAGTGGCCAGGGAACTCTGTTCTGCAACAATTATAGATGGACATAAAAACTCACAAATCTTGGTATGATTGTAATAAATGCTCAACATGGTAATTCCTACAAGACAAATTCAAACAATGATTCTAATGCACATATATAGCCTTTTTAGTATGAACTTGGCTTTACAAGTAAAACTACATGCTGGAAATCTAGCAACCATATTGTGGTGCATTTGCACCATGAAAGAGCTGTTGAGATACAGAAATCTGTAAACACAGGGATTACACAACAAAAAGGAAAGTTTTCTCCATGCCATGCTGTGCCGAGCCACACCGCGCTTGTTGTTACGCAGCACTGCAGTAAACACACATTGGCAGCAGCTAATCAACACGTTGCTCGGCAACGCCTATGTGGATGCTATGATTATGCAACAGTGGAGCAAGCTGTTTTCTGCGTGTCTGTTTGAGGGCTTATAGGAGAGAATGAAATGACTAAGAAGTTAGTCAGTTCTCAGTCAGTCCTCGATGCGAGACAGCTGTGGAAGGTCTGTAGTGGATAAAGACTTGAACATGTGATTTGAAACCTTGAGGAGTGTGATAGTCAGTCATAGCTCAGAATTCAGCCAATGAAGACTTACTGTGTGACCTGAAGATTTCGATTGGAGTGTGTGATTCAGTGAGACTGAAGACTAGTGCAGATAGAGTGAAGAGATTCATGTGGAGAGACTGTGCTTTGTGTAAAGCAGCAACAGTGTAATTAATTGTAGTTATGACCTGTAGGTTGTTAATAAATCCAACTACCAATCCGAACCCCATCTACCTAACATATGTGACAATATAATTATAGGCACTTTCCATATTTCTTGATCATTTCATACTATCTGTTTACAACAGTGCTGCTCGCTTGACTTCTTACTATCTGATACTGAAGACAGAGGCTGTGTTCCTCTGAAACATTAGTAAACTTTACACAATACCCATTACCACAACACAGAAGACAGTGCTCTCCACAGTCACCACTGTGAGAACCTCAAAGTACTATGATTTCCATTAATGTACATTTAGTGATTAGTTGGTGAATTATGTTAAAAGAAGAGTTTCATACAGTAATAATTCATGCGATTCATATTCAGAAGCATCAAGTATCTCAGTATGTTCTTTGTGGCTCTACTCACTTTTCCCATGAAAATTCCAAAACAGTGCCTTGGAAAAGACTGTAACTGTTTTCTTCCCTGGCCATTAAAATTCAGTGTGACAGTACCACTAAATAACCCATAAACTGTTGTACTTACTCCATGTCTTTGAGTTCAGAGAGGCATGGATCACAGACACGCACATCAAATTCAAAACCCATTACAGGAATGGAGGTCCGACCTGCACTGCAACGGTCACACACTGCACGTCCACAGTAGCGACAGTGGTGCTGCCTGAGACCCAGTTGGCGTTGGTCCATCATGGCACGAAGGTTCCAGAAGAATGGGCGTCCACATCGCTGACAGCAGTCTGATTCATGCCACTCAGGTGTCTGACACAAAACACAGCAAGGGTCATGGAAGACAATTGCAAGAAAACCTTGTTACAAGAATCATTACTAGCTCAGTGGGTCAGCAGAGATGAAGACCTTTGCCTAGAACTTTTTGTTCCCCTAATGATAATAATGTACATTTCTCACATACAAGAAAACCTGTCTTTAGTGGAACCACTATTAAACAACACTGGGTCATAACAGATACATACTCTGGTCCCAAAACTTTAGCACAGTAGCAATTTAATATCATGTGTAGCAAAGAGAAACTGTGTAATGTGAAACTGAAACCAAAGATAGGATTTTAACTTTTTCTAAATAGTTGTTTCAGTTGATGGGCTATCTATATACATGTGGTCTGCCATATTTCTGGTGCATGTGACAGCTTGGTCTATGAATGTTAAGGAAGCACTGCCAATGCCAACACCCATCCCTTTATATGCCACTGTAAATCACACACATAAACTCAGCCAGGAATTTCCTTACCCTTTCTACAGTCATTAGGGTAGGTATGCAGTTCTAATATAGTCCAAAGATGCAGACTTACTTGTATATCTGCAGCCATGGTATCCAGCTCTCTCTCTTACTCACTTATGGAGCTGAGCCCCTCTTGAGAAGTGACCAATTGTGAGCTACTCAAGAACTTCCCAGCATTCTATGGAACCCGAAGGTTCATTACCATGTTCACAAGAGCCCTCCACTGGTTCCTATCCTGAGCTAGATCAATCCAATCCATACCATCCCATTCTATATCTCTAACATCCATTTTAATATTGTCCACCCACATCTTGGTCTTCCCATTGGTCTCTTGCCTTCTGGCTTCCCCACCAATATCTTATATGTATTCATCCTCTCCCCCATTTGTGCTACATTCCCTGTCCAGCCTTGACCTGATCATTCTGATTATACTTGGAGAAAAATAAAAGTTATGAAGCTCCTCATTATGCAGTTTTCTCCAATCTCCTGTCATTTCATCTCTCTTTGGTCCAAATATTCTCCCCAGCACCCTGTTCTCAAACACCTTCAGTGTATGTTCCTCCCATGGTACCCAACAAGAGGCATATATATTTGATTTGGTTGCAACAGTTTAATTTACTGAAGCTAGCAAAAACAAAAAAGCTGAAAGTGAAATGAATTACCAAAATTTAAAGTAGGAGAAATTCAAATGTATTACATTTTGAAAGTAAAGTCTAAGATAAAAATAGAGGCTAATTAGCAATGAGTGAATGAAATTAAGATTTAGGAAGACAGGAACTCAAGACATCAATGAGATCTGGGAAGACTGCTTTTTAAATGTGAAGGCTAGAACCTTACAAGTACATTGGCCAATGGTACAACAGCAGAAATGGCTACAAAATTTGGGGAAATGAGATTTTAAAAAATCATTTTGTCACGTGTTGGGTGTGTGACACATGAAAAATAACTTCACGCCATATTCAATATAGCGAATTTAATCTCACAATTTCACCATTTACAATTAAACCATTACTGCCATCTGCAGCATCATAAATACTCCTCCTGTAGTCATTTCCATTCACTCTGGTGAATGTTAGACTGCAACTGACTGGTTACTCTCGCTCTAGTAACTCACTCAATACTCACTACTCTGAATAGTGATCGCTGCTCCTTATTTAGGTTCGGCACGGACAACACAGAAAACACTTACGTGATAGGTACCACTGTTGTGTAACATCGTGTTTACCGATTGCCTAGCAACAGTCGTTGCACAGGCTCCCCTGTTGCGTGACACCATGTTTACCGATTGCCTAGCAACAGTTGCTGCACGGGCTCCCCCATTGTGTGACGTCACACCCTAGAGGGGAGGGGTGCTTACCGAGCATTACATGATAGTGGAAGGAATGGGGCTATGTGACGTCACTCACGAGAACGCTGAGTTCATGTGACCCCTACTTCCTGTTGCGCCATCCACGTCACAATACGGATAGTTTGAGAGATTCAGAAAAAAAGACATTAAATTGTTTATAAGGAAGACTGGAGAGAAGCTGGAGGACATTTGTGAAGAAACTGTTGGAAACTAACAATTGCCAACTGTCTTCAGTTATAAAAGGCTATGTCCAAAGAATACCACAAATGCTGAATAAACAGACCATTTCCGCGCACTGCCAAAACCCTCTATAATGGAAGATGAAAGACAGGTGAAAAATACTCTAAGGTTGACTTTATGGTTTTGTGACTGGAGAGTGTGACAACCTTTACTTAGGGGTGGGATGGGGGTGTAAAACCATGATGTTTTAAAAACATACAACATTCTCCTATTTTTGAACAATGAAATATTCCATCCTCATATCAGCTGACAACTTATATCAAAGAAGGAACGCTGACAGTATTTAATACAAGCTGTAACATCTATACAAATGCCACAGTATTCATGATGCAGTATTCAGTACAATTCCATTTATCACCATGTAAATATACCACAACAGTAATATATTACAACATATCACAGGGGACAAAATTAAATTTTGGAAGCAAAATGTTCTCTTACTTTTGGACAATAAAACACACTGTTGTCATATCAGTCGATATCTCATATCATGGAAGAATATATGACAGTAATGAATACAAGGATGAAACAGCCCAACCAAAATGTTCCCTTCTTATTCTTGGGCAATAAAAATCCCATCCCCATATCAGCTGATATCTCATTACACAGAATAATGGCTGACATGGGTTAATAAAAGGATGAAAAAGGAGAACCAAAATATTTTCTGGATAATGCAATCATATCTGTTGATGTCTCATTTCACTGAACAATAGCCAACAGTACAGGGATGAAACACCTGAACCAAATTCTTGCACCATCTGCAATTCATAGTCACTTGGGTCCTATATTTTATCTAATCGATAAAGCTAACGTAGTTGCAGACTGCTCAGAAAATCAGTTCAGAGTGCATGACCTGCGTGACTGTGACCACAGATGACATGTGGAGGCTAAATTCAAAGCCCTGCTGGCTACCAATGATAAAGACCCCTGTTAATTTCTGACCCAGTGATGTCTCAAAAAGAATCCTTGAAATTACGAAAGGCCTGTGGTTTTGATGACATTCCAAATGAATGTCTCCTGCATCTTCCAAGAAGACCTCTTGTGCATTTAACACATCTATTCAAACAATGCCTTGGGCTTGATCACTTTCCAGCTCCTCGGAAAGAAGTAAGAATCATTAACTGCCGAAACCCAGCAAAGATCCAAAATTTACATCTGATCAGCAGCCTTTTGTCCACTACAAGCAAACTAGTTGAGAAGCTGATTTTAAGAATAATCCAAAGAAACTTTCTAAATGCAAGTCAGTTCGGCTGTCAAGCAGATCACAGTACGACACTTCAGTGTATGAGGCTGGTGGATCGCTTTGCCCTAAATTTCAACAATAATATGTCAATGGCTGCTGTGTTCTTGGATATCAAAAAGGTCTTTGACAAAATGTGGCACTGGCCTACTTTTTAAACTGAGGGAATTAGAATTTTTAACAAGTCTCATTATGCTAATTGCTTTTTTTCTCACTAATGGAAAGTTTAAATTCTTAGTAGAAGGAAACTTCCTACACCAAGAAATACTACAGCAGTGGTACTTCAAGGTCCCATGCTTGCCCCATTATTGTACAGTCTGTATATAAATGATGCCCCATGGCAGCTGGAACTTGTCTTGCTCTGTTCAAAGATGATAACTGTAATTACATGATAGAGAAATACGAATGCTGTGTTCTCTAAAAACTGCAGTGAGGACTCAAGTGCAGTGAATTCATGGCGTAAGCGCTAGAACATAAAGATCAATGAAGAGCATCTCAAGCAATCTATTTCTCAAGAAGTCTTAAAGTGACGATGTACTACAACTAAACGGACAAGACATTCCCTTTCTAAATAATGTAACTTATCTTGGTGTCACTTTCAACAGGAGAATGACACTGAGACACCATATTGCAAAGCCTGTAGCCAAGGCCTTGTGCACGTACTTAAGGACCTGTTCCCTATTCAAATGTGAGTATTTAAGTATAAATATTAAACTTACTCTTTACAAAGGGGTGTGCCATAGCTCAAGCGGTTAGTCGCTGGCTTTCCACCGCGGAGGCCTGGGTTCGAACTCGGGTCTGGTCAAGTGGCATTTGTGGAGGACAAAGTGGCACTGGGAGAGTTTTTCTCTGAGTACTTCTGTTTTCCCTACCAATCTTCATCCACCAATTGCTCCACAATCACCCTCACCTATCGTCTGGGGCTGGTACAATATGTCAGAAGTAGCCACAGTACAAGGGACTTAGTCCCACCCACTAGCAATAAAAAAAACTCTTTACAAAGCCCTGATTATGTTAGTAATGACTTATGCCTGTCCCACCTGGAAGTATGCAGTGGGCGCTCACCTCCTGAAACTGCAGTACCTGCACAAGACTACATCTACACAAATGCTGTAGCGTCCTTGGCATTTTACTCTGTACAATTTCATTGATCACCATGTAAATATAAAGCCATACATGACAAAGGAAAAAAATAAAATTATACAACCATAAACAGTATTTAAATCGCAGGAAAAAACTAATCATTGAGCATTTTGACATACTTGCAAATATTGTGACCATGTACCACAATTTGGACTCCATTTTACACTGTCAAAATTCAGTGACCATTTTTGAAGTCTAAGATCACTGTACCCAAGGCAGTTTCCTTACTTGCCCTAACCTATTTCTAACCCTGTAAGTATGCATCTCACCTCCTTTCTCTCCTGGGTCATGTCCCAAAATACAATTACTGAATCATCTCCTCCTGAGATGAGCTGCTGCTTGAGACTCGCATAGCATAGAGCTGTCACTTTATTACTGAAAACGAAACAGAAAGAGAGACACATCACCACATCTTATCAAACATCCTGAAGGTCTCAAATGCAAATATGTCTGCTTGAATGTACACAGAATGTTGTCTATTCTCATAATTTTAATGTTGAGTAATATTTTTCCACACTCAATAATTAAAAATGTTGTGAAATAAAATACATGCAGCTGGAAGTTATTGCAACATCACAATCTTCAGTATTCATACGAGTATATACATATCTAACAGGCACTCCATGTTCAGTCACTACTGCTGCACTTTATCATCATTAGAAGCTCACACTGTTGTACAAGGGATATTCAGAAAGTAAAGATACAAGTCCAGTAAAAATGCAAGGGGATTTTCTTTCCAGAAATGGCAGTGCTGCCATGTGAGATAGGAACCATGTGACAGGGCAGGGTTCACCGACCACGGTCAAGGCAACGTGCTCGCAGTGTTTGTTTTACAGCAAAGATGTTATGAACAGGCAAAACGTGGCAAAATGGTGTCATGAATTTGAAGCAGGAAGAAGTGATGTTCATGAAGAAATAAGGAGGTGAAGGCCATATACTGTCACTGATGAAAGCATCCAAAAAACTGATGAAAACATTCGTGCTGACAGACATTTAACCATCGATGAACGTCATTAACAATGTCCAGAAGTGTCAAGAACTGTTCTCCATCAAACTGTTACAAAAACATTATGCTATCGGAAACTGTGCATGCGTTGGGTGCCGAAAATGTTGACAGACAATCACAATAAAAATCGAGTGGCTGCGACACAGGCATTCCTCGCGTGTTACAATGATCAATGTGTCAACTTCCTCGACTGTATTGTGACGGGAGATGAAACTGGGGTATCTCAAAACACACCTCAGAATAAGCGACAATCAATGCAATGCACACTCTCACCAACAGCAAAAAAAACTCAAAACCTCACATCAAACTGAAAAATCATGGCAACCATCTTCTTGGACAGGAAGGAACCACTTTTGTCAATTTTTTTTCCTCGAGGAGACACCTTCAATGCTGCTGCTTACTGTGAGACACTGAAGAAATGGTTGGGCTATTCAAAACAAGCAGAGGCGCAGAGGAACGTTGACATGAGGAGTCTGCTTACTACATGATAACGCCCATCCACACACTGCTCGCGCCACACAGGAGTTCTTGCAGTCCTTCAAGTAGGAAATATCGGCCCATCCACACACAGCCGAGACCTTGCACCAAGCTACTATCACTTGTTTTCTAAATTGAAGGAAAGTCTGGCCGGAAAGACTTTTTCAGATGATGAGGATGAAGTTCAAGAAGCGGTGATGACATAGCTAAGAGAGCAGGCAGATTTCTATGACACTGGAATAAAAAACTCATTCCCAGGCTCACTAAGTGCTTTGCAATCTATGGTGACTATGCTGAAAAGTAAATAAAGTTGTGTTGTAAATGTGCTACAAGTGAATCCCCCAGCCCCCAAAAGAAAAATGTTTTACAAATTTTTTTTTAAGGTCTTTCATTCTGGTCCGTCACACTAACCAATTAACAATCAAGTTCCTTCCGTCAAATGTGACACTTTTTTAAGTTTTCCACCTCGTCAGCACCTGCCTTACATGTTTCGGCTCACCACGGAGCCATCATCAGAGGCATTTATAGTAGAAAAAGAAATCACCAACACACAAAACTTCACTTTGTCCAAGATAGCCACGTTCCAGTTAATTAAAATAATTACAAATAGTTAAAATTACCCAGA